ACTATATGCCAAAAGATAGGAACAAAACGAAAAAGAAAAGGAACATCAAAAATATCAAAAAGGAAAGAACGGAGTGGACCAAAGCAAAATACCTATCTACAGAGATAAATTGTACATTGGAAGTAGATGTTGTGAACAATAATCGTCACATTGTTGTAATTCATTGTTGATTTACATGTCATTTTTCGTTGAGACAACGTTTCGAAGTCACAGAAGTGTCTAATACCGAAAAATTGACCCTATTCAGAAAAAGAAAGCTGTAATGTGTATTAGTTCCTGAGTAAAAATCTTAAACCTCATGGTTTGCTGGGTGCAGTTTCAAATCATTGCTTCGAAAATAAATAAAATCCATGGCAGAATAAAAAAGAATTTTAAGAAGGATGAATCAGAACTTCGCCAACCCCTATTTCGTTACCTGAATTTCAGCAATTGTCGAAATTCCAAAAGAATTTCAACAATAACTAATTATTACTCTATTAGCAATTCTGCAAGTAGTAATGCTAGAGTACAAATAAAAAATACGATCATCGGGGTTATATAACTGTTATGGTCGAAATTCCCCTAGAAATTGCTGAAATTGTAGGGGAAAATTTGACAATATTGCCGGAATTCTTTTGGAATTTCGATATTGCCCAAATTCAGGTATGGTGAAATTTCGATTGTCGAAATTCCAGTAATCCGTAAGAAGCAAATGAGCGAATAGTATGAGAACAGGTTGTTGGCTTTGACGCGACGCTAATCTAAGTTATCATATGCATTTTTGTCGTTTGACGTAGTAAAACAGCCCCAGCGTACTGTTATCCCTAGTGACAAGACGATGGACCAATAATATTGTAATTCTTTTTGAAGTGAGAAGCACAACTCTTGCTAAAAACTGCTGAAAAATATATAAATCAGTTATTGAATGTTAAGCACATGCACGAGAAGAATTTGACGATTCTTATAGCCAAATTAACAGCAAGACTAACAACGTTTACGTAAAAACCAACTGTTAACGTACAATTTTCTGTCATTTTTACCTCAAATTCGTTGACATGAACTGTAAGCGAAGATGCTTATTATTATAACCAATGGTTGCTTTGAACTTCGTTTTGTGCATCTCACATAAAATCCGTCACAACGACATTATATTACATAACTTCTTGATCTGCTGTTCTGTTTCTTTCAATGTTTTTCTACATTAGAAATGAGATAATTCCAAAATCTGTTCATATCACTCATCGAGATAACTCAAGTATTTCTTGTAATTGTACAACTTGACAATGTATCGGTAGTCGATCGAAAAGCCAAGCATACGTCAAAATCATAGAATTAATTGAAAAATAGTAATTGCATTGAAATACGTGAAATTATCGGACTGCCGTGTGTGTGTGTGTAAAACTTCAGTTAATGGAAAAAAATCATAGAATTCGTACCATATTTTAGGACGTATTCTGTTCTCTAAACCTGACTCTCAGACGTGTGCACACATATCTCATTGTGAAGAGAACATATAACGTTTAAGTATGAAGCTTTGTTGTCCAATGTAGTAGATTTTGCCGATATCTAGGGAAGAATTCATGTATTAAGATTAATGCTAAGGGAGCACGTCAAAATAAATACCGGTCGGTTATAGTTTCTCTATTCCTCAATTCCGTTACTCCGCAAGTATTTTCCTATTCCATATGTCGGAATGCCCTAGTGAGAAGGCGAACTTAAAGGTTCAAAGTATAAAAATCGGATTGCTCATATCAAAAAAGGGTTATCGTTAAGTTTTGCTTCACTCCTAGTGCATTTTACGAGAGAAGTAATTGCAACTCTAGGCACTATGGTGGCGCCACTTGCAATTACTCCAAAATTAACATCTTCTGGGAAACACCAAAACTTTATGATAATCCTTTTTTTGTACCGGCAATCCGATTTTTATACTTTGAACCTTTAAGTTCGCCCTTCTCACTGGGTCATTCCGGCTATATGCTTCATTTCTCGCTTTCCTGGTGATCTAAAAATATTCTCAATTATTCCGCCTTACAAACAATACTTCGAAATATCTATCCATGTCCACAGACTGATTTACTCTAATACGCTGTCTTGTGCTTTGTACAGGTAGATATTTGTGTAATTTTAGTTCATTCAATTGACAAAATATACAGGCCCTGTAAATTTTTAGAGGATGATATTCACAGCCATATTTCTCAAAGACTAAAAGGGATTCTTTTCTAAAAGTCAGATCTGTATCGTGTACAACTCATGTACTTTAAACTACTATAAAAATGGGAAATGTATCTTCTCTAATTAGTGTAAAATTGTAGTTCGCGATGTAGGTGCAATACGAAATAGTTTTACAGTGAGCACTCCCTCCTTGAACATATAAAAGATGAACATTTGATGAAAATATAAAATTTGTTCTTTTCTGATTTTATTCTTTAAGCAGAAAAGCAGAAAAATTTCCGCTCTTATAATGATGTCTGTTAAAAAACGAATACGTTGGAACTATATATATGTCAATGTATGTATCCACGATACAAACAAAGGAACGGAAAAAAACAAAATAAAATAGATTAGAATTTCACTGTGGCAGAGCAGCCATGGGACCGGCATACATTTTGAAATGCTCACTAAGAAGAAGATAAAATTATCGAATTTGATTCTCTATCCGACGGTATAGTTTTCAGAATTTTTGGAAAAATTATCTAGGTCAGGGAATTAAATTTAAAATTTAAATTGTCACCACGAAGATTTGACTTTCATTTGTTTTTGAGTCCAGATTTGCAATCATCGTGAAAAACTGCCTCTAATGATGTACTTTTAAGCTTTGCTCAAGTTAAGACGAAAATTCGAACCTTCTCATCCGAAGATGGACCGTTAGCTGGGCCCGCCGTTTACCTTCTTGTTAAGATTTCACCTACAAAAATATTTTCATTAATGCTAGATTATAGGGCAAACATTTCTGATCAACATAAAACGTCTTCGACCTCCGATTGATATTTTACCTTTTTGAAGCTTTATAACCTTAGTCAATGACACCACTATATCCCCAAAGCAGCGTTAACCTTTTCAGCATTTCGCGTCTGCAGAAATTTTCCGTCAAATTAAATGCTTGAAAGTTTGTGTAACTCGAAACAGGCTTTTTCAGATTTTTTACTTCTAGCGCCTGCCAAACTCTAGTCGAGTATAAATTTCAAAACCGTACACTTGTTCGTCGTAACTATGAGTGTCAGTTACAATTAGACATCAACCGCAACTTTTATGCATTTATCTAAACGTATATTTTCTGCAACGACAAACAGCCTCATTCTAACTGCTGTTATCGTGACATCTAGCGAATGAAGATGGCTGAAGACAAGAAAAATCTCATCACCATATTTGGACTTGATCAGTATTCCATGAGTATTCATTGACATTAGATATAACAAAATGAGTTTCTCATGAAATGAACTACTTACTGTTACAAGATAAAGTTTAAGTCTGTCTGCGAAACAGTTGCGTTCTCTAAATTGGTAAGGATACTGTTAAATCAGAACAGTAATCTTTGACTGTGTTCGTAAAACCATCGAATTATATACTGATTTTATAGAAACATTCGCAATCCGTCTTTTTTCTGATCAGATTTTTTTGAAACCGGGTACAGCACGTTCCAATTCTGAGTGTCTATCAGTTTTCTAAAATTTTATTGTTTTTAGATAAGTTACTTTATTTATCTTTGAAGTCTAAGGTAGCGTACATTGCTATAGAGCATGTTTAATATTAACTCGATTGTGTGATTATTATTCTACTCAGACTGTGAAACATATATGCTCACACTTATAAAATTTATGTGGCAAGAAAATATTCGTGACATATAGAAGAAGAAAGAAATGCCTGGAAGTTCACACAGTTTTCACGCGGTGAGAAGAAATTCAATACGTTGGAATAGAATTCTGATTGTCGTAATCTTATCGAATCCCTTCAACCAAAACTGTCGGAAAAGATTTTATCGGATCCTTGATGAATGTATACATTGTCTTTTGTCGCGAAATGAATTCGACCGCTTCTAGTCAGATGTATTCGCCATGTGATTGCGTATCATAAATGACACTTTCGTAATAAAAAAGGCGTCCAGCAAAACATGACTTCACCTTTAAAATCTTTTTGATTTCATTCCTTTGGTCCAAAAGCACCGCTATTGCTTATTCATTCTATCATTCAGTCCATCAATTCCAAACTACGAAGAAGGAAATTTCTGCTTTACATGCTTCTAATATTTGCGGTCCCACATCAGGCTACTTTATAAGTTTCAGCCAAGGTAGCTTGGATCGTTGTGCTTGTGCAAAGATCCTAAAAAGTTATTTTCTAAATAATTGTCTTATACATCGTTTCACACAATTTTGCACACTGATTTTAAATATAACATTAGTTTCATGATAAAACAATAGAGAGAACAGTCAAAATCACTTGGGTACTAGTACTTTTTGTAGGCACCTTAACTAGTCTGCTCCCAGAATGCGCTTGCAAGTATAGTAATTCTATGTTCATCACGTATACTAATGTATGTACTCAAAATCTGACCTAAAATACGTTAACGAAAAGTAATAGAAGAAGTTATGAGATCATCGTTTATTTTATGGTTAGTATCAGTAAGAAAAAAGAATTGTTTTTCACCTTGTCACAGAAAAGTTCGATGGTTTTCTTTTCTTGTCCGTACGGTGCCCAAGAATCCTGTAGATAAAATATAAACTTTCTAGGAATGTACAACTCTATCAAATAATTAAGCTATATTTATTAAACTCGATGTAATCGTGTATTAAAAGAAGAATAATTACGATGGTTTTCTCTTTTTTAAAAATATTTGATTTAACATGATTATTTTATAATAATATTTAGTCCCGCGAGTGAGGAAGTGTCATATACTCTAGTTGAATATAAAAATAACCATATGTTCAATTTCTCAATAATTATCATGCATTAATGCATACTATAACGGACATGATCACACTTTTTAAATGAAAAAAAATTACTCATACATTCATTATTCTAATTTATTATTCATTATTTCTTTTCCAAAAATTTGCACGTTTTTTCCAAAAATTCGCACGTTTTTTCCAAAAATTAGCTCGTTTCATTTGATCATGATCATCGTCTCGACCAGAAAATAATTGTTCTTGATAATGATTATCATTCTTGTCCATACTTGTATTTAATGAATTTTGTACGGCAATATGATAAGGTAGATTAGGATGAAATTTTGATAGATAATTTTCCGATAAATAAATATGTTGTTCATCGTTTAATTTTCCATGACAATAAATAGAATGAATAAATAAGATTAAAAAACCTAAAACTAAGATGACAACAAAATCTTTAAAATTTTGTGTAAACAAACTTTTCATCATCTTCTCATTCTTGCACAGATTATTCTGTGATTCTTAATTTAAGCGAACAATAGACTGAACTCCATTAGACATAATCGTGCAATAAACTAACAGTCTAGTTTATAAAAAAATTGTCAATGTAGGGAACATGTGTAACTTCTTCAATGGCAAAGCTAGTTTTACACGTATTATGTTAACTTTTACGAGTTTTATCTACACTTAAAGAGGAAATAAATGTTTTATACGTTGAGCTGTAACGCCATAGGAGGATATTCTATAGTGCCATGGTTTTTTTTTTTTTTTGACAATCTGCAGGGAAGGTGGGATAAAAATTAGCAAAATCGCTAAGAATTTGAGTATAATACTGAAATGCCCCTTAAGATCAGTAGATGGAGGAGTTATACACAAATGTTAATCTATGATACTTACGTAGAGAAATATTTTTGTAAGTCATTTCCAGTGTATGGTTAACTAAAGAAAATTTTTTTTTAAATATAAACCGTTCCGATCGATAGTAGGATGGATCTGTTACTATTTTAATCCTACTTTTTTTTTTCTCATTTTTTTTTATTATTTTATTACTTTACGACTCATTTTTCCTTTTTTTTTCCCATTCTTGAACTATAATAAAACGATCTGTGTTTTTCTCTTTTCTCGTAATCTATATTCGAGTGTTGTTTTATAGTTCATTGATCTTCAATACCTCTATTCGAAACTTTTAATTTCCGAAATAGATATGACAAACAAAAAAAGAAAGAAGCATAAATATCAAAAAATCTCAAGTGTATGCAAGAATCTTGATATAAATCAAACAAAAAAGTGAACAGTAGTTTTAAATTACCTGTACGTTTATCAACAAGAGATTTTTAAATTTTATCTATAGTCTTCTAGTTCATTAATAAAACAACAATGACTTATGTTATTTTAGTCGTCTCTTGTATGCTTTGTTTCAAAAAATAAAAAAAAAAAAAAAAAAAATGATTTTTTTGCAAATGTATTTTTGTTTAATTTATTTTGCCAAGAGGTTCAAAAGAATAAAAATAAAAAGAATCTACTCTCTTTCTCAAACTCTTTCCTGTATGTAGATCATTTTAACATTGATAGAAACTCAATGCAAGATTATATCACAAAAATTTTCTAAAGCTTTTAGTTAAAATGTCCCCAGTAAACTAGTGGTTACATACCGGAAATATACAACATTTTGTATTCATAGATTTTAATAGGAAAAAGAACAAAGAACACATGATAACTTTTCCTATTCAATTAGTGAACCATTGAGGACTCCTTTTTATTTATCTATGTTATAATTTTTATTGTTACATCAATTTGATAAACGTAAAGACAAGCTTTTGTAATACGAAGAATGACCATTAATGTTGTTCATTAAAACTGAATGATCTGCCATTGCAATGAGCATCTGTCATATAAACTCTCATTTTGATAGACGATTTATTTCAGGTAGAGATTTGAATTTCACATTGAACAACATGAGACCTGATCATTTATTTATTTCATGTCAAGATTAAACAGATCGTTCATTATAGCGAAGTGTCTCTTATTCAGTTATTAATCCTTTTATTTTTATACAAGTAGTTAGTGGTACATTTCCTTCAAGATAACTCTACAATATCTCAATAGACGAGAAGTGAAGATTAGGTTTCTCGCTTAAAATTCCTTCAAGCATCTCAGAGAACTCCTGGAATTCTCACAGGTAGCCATGCACCAGTTTCCGTTAACCAATAATTGATAGAGTAAAAAAACTTGTTTATTTGCATATATTCTTAAAAATACGTGAGATCATGACAAATCTCAACATGTAACATATTCATTTTTGTTATTATCTGATTTTTTGATTATCTGTTGTATATTCACATGTGTTTAGAACAGTACTTTGCAGTCAATATTTTAATATTTTACACATCTATTAAGATTATTTAATTCCATGATTTGTTCTTTGTATCCGTATAAGTTTGTTCACGCTTGAATATTATGGTATATCAGTTCTAACTAGCAGAGAAGCAGACAATCAGATAATCTGATGCATTTTAACAATTTTTAGATGTTCTTCTTCTGAATTCGATCTTGCCACCTTTCGTACGCTGTACTTCTCCACCTAAAAATTGTTAAAAGGAATATCTCTCCTATAAACAGTAATCTGATGCATTGTGTCTTCACGTGTGACTATTGTCTAAACGCTCATCTTTTTTATTTTACGGCAGGTGGAAAGATTAGGAGCATCTTAGTCGTAAGATGAATCCGATATTTGAAAGATATTTGGATTATAAAGTTTCTGACTGCATTTTAAACTGTCCATTTTCGAATGGGTAATTTGAGTTCTACTTTTCGCTGTCTACCTGTTTCCAAGTTAATTGATATGTGTTTAACAGTTCTAATCATAATTTGACGTATGGTTTAAATTTTTGTAAAAATTTTCCAAATTTCGTTCATCCGAACTTCTCGATGGCTGCTAGAGGTTATTTCTAGTTTATCTATAGAAAAACTCAAGCTAAAACAACAGATAAGACTCATTCGACCATTGCTAGATAGACGATGCAAAACTGAATTGAAAGGCACCCAAATCATATCTTCGCTGATTTGAAAAATTGTAGACCAAACTTTTATATGGCCACATACTTAATAGGATACAGATTCACAAAATTTTAATTCTTTCGTGTACTTAAAAGTCAGGTTACATCTCAGTTTATATATATATATCGATAGCCCTTGAAAATCTCTACAAACTGAACTAGTTAGCATATCTCGACTGGTTGACCCAATCACGAAAGACAAGTAAAAGAAAGCATTATGGTACGAAAAACACATGCAGCACACTCTAGTCATTTTTTCTGTCATAATGAAAACAAAACTAGTTCAGTTTGTAGAGAATTTCAAGGGCTGTCGATATATATATAAACTAAGATGCAACTAGGGATGTAACAATACCAATACCATTTGGTATTGGTGGTATTGATATTGGTCGGTATTGATATAATAGGAAAAAAAGGGGAAAGAGAGTCTCTTTCCTATTATACCAATACCGACCGATACCAATACCGACCAATACCAATACCCCAAAACCGTATTGGTATTGTTACATCCCTAGATGCACCCTGACTTTTAAGTACACAAAAGAATTGAAATTTTGTGAATTTGTAGCAGTATATGATTGTCTATTTCTTTGCTGTATGAGAAAGACACACCTATGTAGAAAATATTCAGATATCAACATACAAAATATTTAAATAGTGGAAAAAATCTAAATGTTTAACATATTTAGATCTGACATTAACTGAATCATCTTTTGTACTCAATATTTTCCATGAAAATTTAAGAACCATGTAGGAACAGCCTACCTGAGCCTCCGGGTTGGTGTAGAGAAACTAACTATTTAGTCGTGATCTCTACGGTCTGTAACCTTTGTAACAGGTGGCGCAGAATAAAACGGACTATTTTTTTTTGCTCCAGCTCGGTTACTTTTGATTCGATCGGACCAATTTTTTTGCAAAAAGGTAGCCCTTTGAATTCTCTACAACAACATATCTGAGCGGTTTCTGCAAAGTACAGAATGACTCAACCGTTAAACAAATATAAACCACAAAGAAAGTCATCAATTTTCAAGCTCAAAAATCGTTTTTTTCAAAATTTTATTTTTGTATGATGAGTTACTCAAAATCTGAGTTCAGCACGTTAAAGAGCATCGAATTCTGAACAAGAATCATATCGTTAAAAGAATTTCAAATTTAATCCATAGTCAGAAATCAGGAATTACTTTTTTGGCCTTTTCCCACAAAACCCTACTTTCGTTTCCCTGTTCTGACGTTTTCAGAAAAACGCTTGTCGTTCAGTCAAAAAACATTGTTTTTTGATGAATTTTTTTTTGTTTGGAAGCTGACACACTCAGCTAATATGGTTGACCGAATACGTTTATTCAATGATACAAAAAACAGCACAAAAAAGTCCAATTCACAGATGTCCATGTGTTTGACAGTTAACTGTTCTACACATGAATTGATAGTGTGTATGTGTGCTATGCTTATAAAATCGGTAACCAACGGTGTTAGATATTTCATCTTACTGACATGTTTCTTTCAATAATTTAGTTCTTTGTTACGTAATACATTCTATCCATATCCTCACACAAACACAAAATATACATCTGTATAATAGGACAACAAATAGAATATAAAAAAGAACAAAATACGAACCCATTGAAATATATTTTTAAAAAGTTTCTGTTTTTTTAAATGACGATGTCACTTCTATATACCAGTCTAATAGTGTTTTAAAGATATATATGAATCACACACCTGACTATCAGCTATATAACGCTAGTACAAATATTTAATGAAGCCCATAAATGCTATTTCTAATTCATTGCGTGCATTTATTAGGACGGCTTCAACGCGTGAAAATGAATAACGAAAATTGAGACGTCCATTAATATCCGGTGTACCATTTCTTGACCATTTTGGTACAAAGATCGCAACCAATTTGTTCAATAGCATCACAATTGTTTTCCATCACGACGATCTATCGGCTTGTCCAAGCGTAACGGTGTTACGTTTTTGACATACTATTTTCCAATTATCTTGAGAACTTTAGGAGCTAGAAAGTTTGTTCAAGTGCCGTTTGATGCAGTTCATCATTCTCTATTTATGCTAAAAAAAAAAGAATAGTTTCCGTCCAACTCTCGAGTCTCTGGAAAGATTTTTTGATCGAGTAACGGAGTCACGTAAAAGAACCCTAAATTCGAACTGTTCGTCCTTAAGCAGTGATTTTCTGCGAAAGTCGCTGTCCAAATAAAACAAAGACGAATTTTGTAGAGTTTTTAACGAACTTCACAATGGTAAAAAAATTTGTCCTAACGTCTTTTCTACATTTAAAAAATGTAAAAAACAAATGTAACGATGTGACACCTTTCTTTCGAAAATCCATGTGTTCTTTTTATTTGATGTGACTTTGTCTCAACACGTTGTTTAGACGATCAAAGAGACATTTTCTAAAACTCTAACCACTAAATATAGCATCAGCATGTGTGCAGACCTCTTAAGTCTCTGTTAAACTGAACATTTCCCGCTCCAATAAACTATGCTTCTGGTATAGGTTTGAGACACATCTAGAGACTCTTTGCCACTAAAATTTAAGTGCATACTATTTTTACAGTGTTTCTCCAGCTCGGGACGAAGACTTGACCTCCTTCGAGCTGGGTATTTTTTTTTGTTTTTTTTCAGATGTTTCTATCAGTAAAGTTTTTTTTCTACTATTTTCTTTTCATCTTATCGTTTACTACAAAGTCTTGGTTAAATGAAACCCGTTTCTACATTTCATCGAGTGTCTAAATACAAACATAATCAGCAAAACAAAGTCAATCAAAAAGTTCTAAAAAAACTACATGTTTACTATCAATATGTTATAGTTTTTTTCTGAGAACACGTCAAATAATAACGAAACTCTAATTCATCTTCATCAAGCACTTTAACTGAATGCATTTTTAATGTTTCTGGAACAGATTTTACTGTTTTGAAAAGATTTTCAAGTTTAGTTTTCGAACTATCAGTATCATTTCTAGTGATTTCAATCAAAATTATTTTCTTAGTTTTTTTCTTTGCAAGTGTAATAAAATCTTCAGCTGATCGACACACCCCTCCTGCCAGTATAGCTGACCACACAAGACGTTTTACAGTACCTCCAATTCCGGCAACTATACCCTTTCCATGAGAAGTTGCAAAAAAATGTCAACTCAAATTTAAGTTTCATTCCTTAGCAATTCGTGTTAAATTTCGAAAATGAAAACGTTGTTTAAACTGAGAAGCAGCACCATCTGAAAACAATTTATTTCTTCAACATTTGGAAAAACTGTTTCGATATGATTTAAAATAATTTTCAAAGCAGAATCAACAACAAATTTATCGTGTGTTACATCTAACGATGGTAGAGCAAAAGAAAAATGTTCACCTTTTGATCACACAAAAGCAGTAATTATACTCAACGATTTCGTGTTCCAATGAGACTTCTGGATCTCGTCTTGTTCGTTCATATTGAAATTCTCTGCAAAATCGAGTTGCGATACTATCTTTTCCTCACTGACTTCGGTCTTTAACTTTTCAAAATATTTTGCCTGTTCTCGTTTAATGTACACATGAAACAGAAAATATTCAACTTCAATAACCAAACTGCTTCATCAACAGTTTCTGAAAACACTTTTTTTTCTGCACGACCATTTTCGTTCATCCATTGTGACCAAGTAATCTTAACGTTGCCGTCTGTAACGTTTTCCTCAATTTTTTCTGTAAACAAATCTTGACAAAGTGAACAACTACTGAACATACATTCTTCGTTATTAGTACTACAAACTAAACTATCGGTAAATGTTTGCAAAGTTGAGCAGTATTTTACACCAACGTACTTATTACGAGATTTTAAAGGTAAACAAATATTTTCGTGATACAAACACAAGCAATTCCTATATGCTAAAGCACCTGTTGGAATGACAAAAGGAGGTCGAAATTCAACAAACGATGAACGACTCAGATAAACGTTGTCATTCTCTTCTTTAAATAATTCATAAGTTTCACGTAAATTATTAAACAAAATTCGTTTCTGATAAGTTACTTTACCTCCATCATCCTCTTTAATAACAACTGTGTCCCTTTTACCTGTTAATTGATATAAAATACCCTCTCGTAAATAGAAATTATGAACGTCATTTTTTAGTTTGTCAGCAAGCTGAACTGTAGTACGTTGCTGTTTAGATTTAAGAATCAAACCAAATGTTTCAGCAAGGTGCTGAATGATAACTTTTTTCTTTTTATCACATTTTGGAACTGAAGAATTTGTTTTTTTTAAAGCCTTACTGAATGACTGACGACTTTTGAATGAACTTGGAGGAGGTTTATTAACTAAACAGTTTTTTTTATTTTCTTGATATTTTTGTTGACGAATTTTGTTTTCGGTACGAAACTTAGCTGAGTTTTTGCTTTTTTGAGTTATAACGAACACGATCTTTTGCTTCCACTACTTCATATTTAACTTTATCTTTTTTGATTTTCTCTCGATATTTTTTCATTCTTCCAGCATTACTCATAGCCATGTCAAACTGACGATAGTAAGAAGAAACAAATCGTTACCTTGATGAAAGCGATACAAAAGATATTCGGCAATAGTAATTATATGACAGAAAAATTTGTAAATCTTTTTCCAGAACTGTTTCTTACTAGAATAGATAGAGCTGATTCTCCTTTTCTTTTCTAGCTTATTTATAAAAAAGCGACGATTGTTTTAGTAACTAAAACAACCTAAAACAACTAAAATTTAGTTTAGTGACCAGTTTTAACGTTAATATGTTTGTGGAAGTTCCATGATCGCTCACAAACAAAAGCTAGAAAGTAACTCAGTTTTGTCCAACTTTTTCCGCACTTTTGACTGATATAGTTCAAACAAATAGTGTATGGAGAAAGAATTAAACTAAACCAACCATCGCTTTTTAACAGACAATTTGTGAGCGAGTCGGGAAAATCGAGTGGTGTCATAATGCGGCTACAATTTGTATCGTCTTTTTTGCGTCGTTTTCGAACTTGGAAGAATTTTGAAAAATTTGAGCACAATTTTCGATTTATTTCTTTGCACTTATGGAATTTTGGACAGTCTTCGCTCTTATACTCGCGGCTTTATGAGAATTTATTGTGCTACATATTATTAAGAGTATGATACTATAGTATACGATTAAGAGTATGGTATTATACGAACTATGAGAATAACGGGAACTATGGAAACTATGTGAATAGTGGTTAATGTGAACAATTTGTGAGCGTAGTGAACAGGGTGCAGGAAGGGGTGAGCAATAACCGCCGTTTATGACTAATTTCATTACGTTCATGACCATCACCGCCGGCGCCTACGACGGCAGCGCAACCTACAACTGAACAGCTGATCGAAGATTTAATAACATCTGGCGTCAAACCACCACCAGATTCAACACGTGAAATATTGTTGGCATGGCATACTACGAACTGTACCAACATCGTCCACTCATCATTAATTATTGATCCACCATCAACTAAATTATCGTCAGTGGCTCAACAACAGCAGCAACGACAATTAATGAATGCTTTTCATGATGTATTCTTGCCACCGTGCCTTACGAGTGGAAGATCAACCACAACGACACCTAATTCTACTATGCTAAATGGTTCACATGATTGCATGTTACAATTAGCAGCACGTGAATTGGCAAATTCAACGAATTCATTGAACATCACCTCAACATTATCAAAACATTATACAACAGTAAGGTGAACATCGTTACCGACTTCAAAAACAACAGCAGATATTGAGTCAAAAGGCATGTATTCTTTGTTCACTGCACTGGGAACTGATATCTCAGCTTTAGCATTAGATATGGACTCCGAGGCTGAATTTGTACCGCCACATCTTCGTACCTCTATTATTAAAGATGAAGATGTGAATTTACCTCATCTTTTGCTGCCTGTTGGTAGTAGTAGTGTCTCATATCGAGATGAAGCTGATACAACACTGGTTGTTTTACGTGAACCATCCGATCCACGTTTGTTGAAGGCTCTGTCAATTACTGAATTTGTCGCCACCTTTGTTCGCTATGCTTCTATCATGATTTGTGCACGTCCTTCACGCCGTAACGACTTGATGTCACATCTTGCGATCATTGTTAATTTATTTTGTCGTTTCGGTGGAAATGCGTTCTATTCGTACGATCAAGCCTTCGCTGCTAAAGCTGCTCTTTATTTATCTCAAAAGAACATCAAACTAGATTGAGGAAAGCGCGATGCCCACCTTTTCTTTACGTATTTTGCTGGCCAAAAACCAAATTCATGCAATATTTGTGGTAGTTCGACACATCTTTCACCCTTTTGTCCGCAAATCAAGGATCGTCATTTCGCTCGTTCAGCAGCTTGACTTCTTCATTGGAATGATGGTACAAATGCTATCGCACACTTCAAAATATGGCTGGTTTTAATAATGAATGACAATCCTCTTCTGCATTACAGTGCAATGACTGTGTCAAATTTTCCCACATTTCATTTGATTTCGTAACATTTCTAAATTTTCCAGAATGCAGAAAACACATTTCGCCCGAGACAATGCCACACAGATTCGATTTTTAATTTTGAGAAATCCAATGTCACTGTGTAAATGGCTTCAAACCAATGAAAGAAGGATAATATCATTTTTTTCACCTTTACAATCGTCGACTGTTATTATACGAACTCCTTTTAATGCACTAGGATATTTTCGTTTAGCTATTTGAGAAATCGATTGTCGTTGACCCAAATACAAGAGCAATATTGTTATTTGTGATATCTCATAGCCTTGTTTCGTCAAAAAACTAGCCAATTCCACGATGTGCTGAGCTTCGTAAAAATTTCGTTTTGAACTGCCATCTGAATTTTCTTCTGAGTAAGAATGCGTAATAAAATAAACATTATCTCTGGTTCCAAGAATTGATGGCCGTTCTGTGGTGACATTCACCTGATACTAGTATTAGTATGAGTAAATCATCGTAGAAATTTGTCATTAATGAACAGATTTCTGGTCTCATACGATGCTAGAATATTGGAATTCATCATTTTACATAAAAAGTGTTTAAATCCTCTGCAATAAAAATAGATTTTGTATTTTATTTGACAACTCAAGTCGATTTTAATACTATGGAGAGGCATAAGCTTTTAGGGCGGTCTTCTATTTGCTGATATTTCTTCTGGGAGCGACTTTACAGCACAAATTCATATAATGCATGTCATCTGTGTACTCCTGGTATCTAGAAGAAGCAGAAATCTGGAAAAACAGAGAGAAGGGCTGAAATATAATTAAAAAACATTAACAACTTGAATAATTATATTGGTATTACTATGAACGCATCTTAACGCAATGGTAATTAAGAACCCGTTAAAGAAAGCGGATGCGTTAATTATCAACACGTTACGATGCATCGATTATCCACGCGTTAAAGAGGATCATTATTTGGTAACCTAACTCATTTAGTTGCGTGAGAAAAGTGCCCTCCACAAAACGGAATCCTCTAGTACCAAAAAAAATCTAGTATCGCCCGATTCCAGACGAAATGTATCTAGATTTTTTCCACGGGTGTTGTTTACTTAGGCCTAAGCGAAAGCTTCATGTGCCATGGTTATGGAGAAGACGGGGTTTCCCTGCAGCCCTACGACTGCTCTTCATTTCGGTCAATAAATCTTTGCAATACATGGAAACATAATTTCGGCCATGCTGAATCTCGTGGCAATATTTGTTTTTGAAAAAAAGATTTTAAAATCTAGAGAAAACCAAGTTTTTCAAAAATTAAGACTTTCCGTCTGTTTTCACCTATTATTAAAAAATTCACAATTCACTCAAAAAACATTAGAGCGACTTCAAAACTTCAAGATATAGTTAATTGTGTCCTCTAGATGGGATTACAAAATCGAAAAAATTAAAAAATGATGTTTTTATCCTGAGGGTTTCTAGAAAAAAACCCAGAGGGTTTTATACATTTTTTCTTGTTGATTTCTTATAAACAGAATATAAAACAGCCCAAATACTGTACATCCTGAAGCTTAGCTTCATAAACAGACACTCATGATCACCTAATTTTCCAGCATGAATTTCACATTTTTATTGCTCAACAACTAAATGAATAATATTTTTACAGTCTTATTTAGATCTGTTTACAAATTTAAAGCTGTGCAAACTTTTTTGGGACGCTTGTTTGCTTTTCATTTGTCTGAATCATTGGCCACTCATTGTTTTTATAAAAACCAAAATGGTTTCTTTAAATGTAGAGAATCAAATCACTGAATGCCAGATTATCTACGACGCCATTTAAAAGACTGATGGAGTCACTTGAAGCCGCCAAAAATAAACAAGAGCCATTGACAGGACAGTGCCTAGTAATTATTAGAGTTCGCATTAATAACGCACAGTAAAATTGTCAATACCGTCACCGATAACAGAATCATCCATCAAAACCTTTCAAAACAGTTACCACATAAAACAATTCTGTGTCAATGGTGTCTACAATAAATACTCCTCTTTTCATGAAAAAATAAAACATGCATGATTAAAATGAAGTAGAGACACAAGAGAAAAGCATTCGATTATTCATGCATTTACTCTTGAAAAACATATCCTTTTAGGTCGACAAAGTCAACTATGCTGTCCGATTAAATATTTGAACAATGGTTATAAATATTTCAATGGGTTCGTATTTCGTTCTCTTTCATGTTCTGTTTGTTGCCCTGTTATGTAGACATGTATTTTGTGTTTGCATATTGAGAAAAATGTAACTAAGTTACTAAAATAAAAGAAATGAAACCCATTAAAATATTGTTTGTTTTACATCAATCTTTTTCATTTTGAAAAGATGAATTTCTATTAACTGCAATTTTAAACTCAATCGCACTTTTTATTGAGTGTTCTTTTAATTAACATTGAGGACTTTTTTCTGTTAAATGACTTCCAAAAATGACTGAACGGTTGGTAAACAAAATCCCACCCTAAAATCGTAGACGAAGTACATTTCAATGGGTTTCATTGATTTTCATATTATCATTCTTATGGAATTATGAAAGTCTTCAGCCGTCATAGTAGTAGTTTCAGTGTTGAATTAGACGGGCACACTTTATTGATTATTTATTCGATGGTTCTATTTTTTCTGTTTTTCTGTTATTCTCATATTTGCTTTTCTTATTGCTCATTGAACTAACATTCACCATTAAAAACTCTACTAGATTTAGCACAAGTATTTTCATGGTATATGACTTGCTAGGGCATCTTTGATAAATGTGAATGATTATTGAAATACATCAAGATGAATTATAAATATATTTCAATGGGTTCGTATTTTGTTCTTTTTTATATTCTATTTGTTGTCCTATTATACAGATGTGTATTTTGTGTTTGTGTGAGGATATGGATAGAATGTATTACGTAACAAAGAACTAAATTATTGAAAGAAACATGTCAGTAAGATGAAATATCTAACACCGTTGGTTACCGATTTTATAAGCATAGCACACATACACACTATCAATTCATGTGTAGAACAGTTAACTGTCAAACACATGGACATCTGTGAATTGGACTTTTTTGTGCTGTTTTTTGTACCATTGAATAAACGTATTCGGTCAACCATATTAACATGACTATAATGTTTCATCATGCTGAACGCTCACCAATGTAATCACCTGGATCTATATTTTTTTTCATGGAAAGAGGGGTATTCATTGTTCATACCATTGATGTATTTGTGTCTTTATTATTCCACGATTGTACACACGTGCAAAACACGTGTATTATAATTTTGTATTGATAAGTTTCTTATGTTATTCAGGTAAGATTACTTCAGGTAAGATTACTTTTTTTCCATAGCATTTTATCAGCAATCCGTCACTTTTACTTTTTGTATAAAAAATGTAATCTGAGTTATTACAGATGAAAATGTATAAAAACGATATAGTATGCTTAATCATATTATGTAATAGAAGACTGCATTGTTAGTCGCCAAGGCATGATGTCTAAGAGTATTGCGCTTCTGTATGTGTGCTATTCGTAAAAATGCTATCAAAATCAGTTTAATTAATCTATTTCTATGAATTCTATAGGAATTTTGTTAGAGGCAAGACTTTGAGAATAAAAGTGTCTGTTTTATAATAATTTGTAGCTAAATTCGTTTCTTACTTTGTTTTATTTTATTTAATTAATGAATTTTCATTTTAAGCTTTCGAATCATCGACTCATCATCAGAGTTACAGTATTAAAATTTAACACAGTTAAAACTACACAATCTATAAGACTAAGGACGTTATTCTATAAATATATATACAAATGTACGTCATAACTTATACATAAAATCACAAATTAGTCTGATCTCCTTATCGATTGCTTTTCGTAGTTTTGGTATGTTTTATAACGTGGCTGACCATATTGTAGCTTGATAAAGTTAAATCTATTGAATTTTGTTAATGGCAGGACTTTAACTTTGAAGTTTATAATGTTTACATTCCTTTTCCTTCTTCTACTTCTTTCTCTTTTTCCCTATGTAGTTCTACATTTATTCTGTTATCACGTACATTTGTATATACATTTATAGAATAATGTCCTTAGTCTTATTGAATGTGTAGTTTTAACTGTGTTAAATTTTAATATTGTAACTCTGATGATGAATCGGTGATTCAAAAGCTCAGAATGAAAATTCTTTAATGAAATAAAATACAATAAAGTGAGAAATAGATTAATTAAGGTCAAAACTCCTTGGTTTCAGAATAGATTGTGTCGTTTGTTTCTCTTTCAATTCTTTTCCTCTCACTCACCATTCCAGAGATAAGCCAATTTCCCAGTATACTCTATTATGTCCCGTAGAATAGCTTAATCTTAAACAGAAGATGAGTTTTTCTTTAAAGAAAATGTTGCTTTCTATAATATAGGAAAAATGCTACAAAACTACGAGAAACTGGCCTTTTTGTTTTAAAAACTGTGGAAATTTTCGTGGCGGAACTGTTTCTTTTTTGAAATTTTATGCCCTTTCTAGTATTTTAGACATTTTTCACTTAAAATTTGGACTCGTAAAGTTAAAACTTACATTTTCTTGATTAGCTCGACTGGATCTATCCAACCATGCATAAATGAGTGATAAAATATTGCTTAAAATTTGAATTAGCGGCGCCTTATATTAAAAGAATCATTTATATTTGTTAGAAATAGGTTTCATTCCTAAGTGGAGTCATTGCATGCCTATATCAGCTTTATGTTTGTGCATAGTTTCTGTTCTGTCATTGCATGTCTTCGTCATGCCCTCTTCGTACATTCATTCATTGTTCGTTTTTTTCTATGTGTTAGCTTTTTCTGGTTCTGTGTGTATTCTTTTTGTGAGAGTGTGTTTGTTTTTGAGTTTTTTTTTGGAGAGTGAGTTCCACTAAAGAGGAGACCTTTCAATATTCAAAAAATTTAATAATTATTTTTAATATTCACAAGAATTTTTGAAGAGCTTTTAAAAAACTTCGTATTATCTACGGGAGATGAGTTTGTTCAGAATACAAAACTAGCGCATTAAATTAGTGGCGTGACCAGGATTTTGTTAGTGGATGGGCGTTGACCCAAATTTTTTCAAAGTGGTAGACATTAGCGCAGAGTAGTGTGAATTATAAATTTGAGTGGATGGGGCAAAACCAGTTAGTGGGTAGGCTGAGACCACTCGGTGGCTACGCTACTACATTAAATAGAGGAGATCTGATAATATACAAGGTTTCAACCTTTTTGCTCATTCATAACGAACATTCGGATAAAAATTGGTGTTTTTGACTGTCTCACTTATATCCAATTTTGGATAATCCCTTCTTCTCATCACTTCGATGTCTCTCTCTTAAGAATGAATGAAGTGAGTTATTGTCGTCTAATAACAACAGTATGTCTTTATGATCGAATAATTGTACTCTATGCATTTCCTTACATGAATTTGACGATTGTTCGACTTTAGTAGTATCATCAAGAATGTCGTTTACATTTGTTATTTGAAATTGTAAATAAAAATCATCACTGTTGTCATAAACGTTTGAACGATGATTAATACGTTCAACAATTTCATCTTCTCTGTTGTAATTATTTTGAAGTTCAACTGACTGCTCATTTTTCACACGATCTTCTGTTTGTACTGGACGACATTTCAGTTTGTATTTTTTAAATAAATCGATTGAATCATCTAATACTTCCATTCTTAATCACGATCTACAATAATTAAAGTTCTATTTACATGGTCACATGTTTATCGTTACTGTTTCGATATTTTATTGGCATCAAAGATGCATGAACTCTCAAATTGTTGTTCTAATGTTTAGTCTAACGTTTTCTATTTCAAGTTTGATAATTATTAGCTAATATAATAACTAGAAGTTGGATGATCAGACTTATCAATGTGATAGTCAAATAACTGATGTTAATAATTGGTGAGAAATTCAAGATGTACAATGTAACTCACATGCTTCTCACTACAATTAACAATCATTTTTTAGCTAAAAGAAAACCTTAGCATTTCTAAAGTAAATAGAACACAAAAGATACCTGTCATAATGACTTAAGAAAATCGTTTTGATATTTCATTTGACTTTACCCTGAAATAGTAATTTCTACAGTATCGT